AGGGCTGTGACTGTCCTGTCTCCCAGTTCCTTGGGTTTTCCCGACATAAGTGCTACACATTGTTGGACTCTGTAGTGGAGAGGCGGTGTAGGGATGGTCTCGGACGCAGAAAGCCTTCATTTGAGTCTCGGAGCTGAGCCTCTGTCTTCTTTCCTAGTAGAGCACCACACTTTTGCTATTGATTTTACCAGGTGGTTGTGAGGAAAGCATTCCAGGGTTAGGCTTTTACTATTTAAATAATCAAATAGAATTGCTTTTCATCGCATTATTTAATCAGTTTACAAATATCCATTGAGTAGTCTGTATGTGAAAGACAGCGCCAGGGGTCATAATCAGAAACTATCCATCAGACCAAGTGGTTTTTCAGAACCCATTCAGTGGGTATCTTGGTCCAGGGGGATATCTGGGAGAAGAAACGGATTGAGGAGGCAGCAGCATTTTCCTCGGCTCAATCCAACCCGCCAGATGTGAGCCTAAGCAGGACAGACAGAGGTTGGAGGGACCAGTGGCGCCTTGTTCCTGAAGGCAGCCATGGCACCAAATCTCATAGGCTTCCATGTCCGCCAGATCATTTTCCACTAGACACTCCCAGCCCCTCCCCCGAGTCTCCTGCTGATGGAGATTCCAGTCTTCTAGGACTGATGGTTCCCCGTGGTACAGACTAGATTCAGCTAAGTATGGACAAAGCGCTGTGAACCAGACCAGGACAAGGAGATGCCAGAGGGGCTGACGGAGGCCCTCCCCGCTCCAATCCATCGTCTGTGACACGGCTGCCAAAGCGACTCAGGGCCCCGCCCCAAGCTGCTTTTCCCACTTTATACGCGTTCTTCATCTTCGGTGCAGCCACGTGACCATTCTTGCTCCTCACACGTCACCCTCCCTCTCTCGTCTTTGCTCCTTTTTACGTCCTGTCCCCCGCGACCGTAGCACGCTCACTCCTGGCTCCATCTCTTAGAATCCCTCACTTCCTTCAAAGCCACAGCGGGCCCTTTCTGATCGCCCTGAAATCCCCTGGAATTTATCGGGTGCATGGTCTGTACGTGCTTCTCTATGGACACACGGCCTTCCCTGGTGGAATGGAGGCTCCTTCCCTTTCGTCCTTGTATCCCTGGGACCTAGTGCTGTGCCTGGTGGGTGCTGTGAGCTTCCGAACTGCCTGGGGACACTGGCATCACTGTAATGCTGGTCACATCCACACATCTGGGAGGGGGCTGGTTTTGTTTCAGTGTCTTAGAATTGAGATTTATTCTTTCCTAATATAGCTAGGTTTGAGACTTGAGACTTGCTTGAAACTTTTGGGAATGTTTTTCTACAAACTCTCTCTGTCTCTCTCTGTCTCTCTGTCTCTGTCTCTGTCTCTGTCTCTCTCTCTCTCTCTCACACACACACACACACACACACACACACACACACACACAGAGCTGGAAGTCCCTCCATCCTTTGTCCTTTATCAGATCACTTCTGGGCTGTTGTGATCATAAGCCCTCCAGATCATGCCATTTGAGGGACAATCGAAGGAAGTGGGGAGGTTTAGCCTGGAGAAGAGAACACCTGAGTTGGCAGGCATAGACAGCCGCTGTTTTGTGGGAGAGGGTTCAGAGTTGTTTCGTTTGGCCCCAGAAGCCAGAATCAAGAATGATGTGTAGAGACCTCAAGGGGCTGATGGAGGCTGGATGTCAGGGAGAATTTCTGAACAACAAGCTGGCTGCCCTAAGGTCCAAGGGGCTTCCCAAAATATGCTGTGGGTTTCCTTTCCCTCCTGGATGGCTGCTTGTCAGGGGTCTTGTGCTCATGTTAGGAATGGCCCCACTTCAGGTCCCCTGGTGAGTGAAAGGAGAAGGGGAGAGAAGACATTGAACAACTTCTTTCTGCCCATCTGTCTTGTCATCAGTGTGGGGTACTGTGTGGGATTTCTGCCAGGAACACCCCAGTGTCCATTTGTCTACAGAATAGACAGTGAGCGTGGGCAGCATTCACACATGAATATGGAAGCAGGGCTCAGTGCATCACAAAGCTGGCCCCGGAGACATGAAGCCTTGAGTTCATCTCCTGGCTACGGGGCCTTGAACAAGGCTGGCTGTGCTCTGGGCACCTCTATGGCAGACGAGAATTTGTAGAAATGGTGCCAACCTACATGACTGGAGGGAGTTTTCATACCAATGAAATCACAGTCTCTATTAGTCAATGAAGGAGATAAACATACATGGCCTGACATTCTTAGTGTCTTGGCCATAGATTTGGACACTTCCTGTTTATAGGACACATTCACATTTTCAGGCAGTTGCTTAAAAAGACTAACATGAGTCCAAAGAGAGAAGCCGGACATCTCCCTGTGAGGGGCCAAGTTGCCCACGGGCGTCGCCTGTCTCTTACCTCCCTTTTTGTCTTTCTCCCTTTCTGCTCCGCCACAGAAATACAGAGCTTTACCGGTGCTGAGAAGGATGGGAGGATCGTGGGGGAGATAGCCTTCCAGCTAGACAGACGGATCCTGGCCTACGTCTTCCCAGGAGTGACCAGGCTTTATGGCTTCACTGTGTCCAATATTCCTGAGAAGATCAAACAGGTAGGACCACTTGCCCCTCCCTCTGACTGTTCTCACTGGCTGCCTGCCGAGGCTGGCCAGGACCCAGGGATTCTCTCATGCCAGCCTTGGCTTTGGCCCCATTTCCACCCTGGGGCCCCTGCAGCCTCCCAGAAGGTGAGCTGGTTCTCAGCCTTTGTGAGGGAATTTGGAATTATAAATGACTTGGCCTTTTTTGTACTCACTGATTCCCAACAACAAAGTACCCCCAAAGCTTCCTCTTTGGCTCTGGGCCTGATGGTGGACTGAATGTCTGATAACCAGCCTGGCTGGGGGTGAGGGAGGGGGAGGTCATGATGATGAGAACTGTTTTCGTCATTGTTTTTGTTCACTCATTTATGACTCTGTGACCCCATTTTGGGTTCTGGGCGAAGATAGAGTAGATTGCTATTTCCTCTCCAGATCATTTTACAGATGTGGAAACTGAGGCAAACGGGGTGAGGTGACTTGCCCAGGGTTACTCAGCTAGTGTTTGAAGTTGTCTTCCTGACTGCAGGTTGGGCACTCTGTGCACTATGGTGCCACCTAACCGCCCTAACCATAGCTACCGTCAAAGACCATCTACCAAGTCATTTTGGGATTGTCAGCTGGTTGGCCCTAAGCCTCCTGGCACTTTGCTGGTCTCTGGGTTGGCATGGCGTCCTGGGCCCAGAGATCTGTGGTTCTCAGACCCCCGACTACCTTCCCTTTCTCTCGCCTGGACTCCCACTCACTTTCACATCTGTTGGTTGTATCCATGAGCTGCAGGCGCTCAGAGCATCGACGCTGAACATCTCCAGCCTTGAAGGAATGGGTGGGAAGGGGACGATGGGCAGGGCAGGGCGTGGTGCCCACCAGGCGCGTCCTCTCCTCCCCCTGGTCCCCCGTCTTGTCTTTCCCTTTGCAGACTTCCGTAAAATCTCTGGATGGCTCCGTGGATGAGAAGAAGCTTCGAGACCTGACACACCGCTACCTGACGCTCACCACACGCCTGGAAAAGCTCGGCTACAACCGGGAGGTGCACCCGGTCTTCAGCGAGTTCCTCATCAACACCTATGGGATCCTCAAGCAGAGGCCCGACCTGCGCTCCAACCCCCTGCACAACAACCCCGCGGCTCTGCGCAAGCTGGTGATCGACATCGTGCCCCCCAAGTTCCTCGGAGACTCCTTGCTGCTCCTCAACTGTCTGTGCGAGATCTCCAAAGAAGACAGCAAGCCTCTCTTTGCCTGGTGATAGGTCTGCGCTGACTCCCATCGCCGTTGGAAAACCCAATACTCAGATACTCAATTTTTTTACAATACAAGTGCTTGAGTTAAGTGTGTCAGCCCTGGGGTGCTCCGGCGCGTTGCTTCTCATTTTAGTGTGTGTGAGGAGCGCAGCAAGATCTGGTGGGGAGGGGGGAGGGGGAAGGGGGGGCAGCAAGGTCCGACGGGGGGGGGGGGGGGGGGGCGAGATCGTCTGGGGGTGGGGAGCCCTGTGCTCTCACGGCAGCGGGGACTTCTGTTCTTCAGTTCACTGTCCTAGGCACCAGCCTCTTCCCTCCAGGAGCTCCCGTTGGCTGCCTGGAGGTGGTGCCCTGGGGCTGCCCAAGCTGCCAGGCCCTAGAGCTCCCTGGCTGGGCTTTGCCTGTCTGCCCTCCTCTCTGGAGCGTCTGCCTCAATTAGCGTGTAAACTCCTTAAGACCAGGGACTGCCGCCATTTTTCTATTGGCATCCACACCGCATTCCTTGCAGTGTTCCTTAGATGTTTTTTTCATTCATTCATTCATTCATTCATTCATTCATTCATTCATTCATTCATTCATTCGCCATTCTACATGGACGCAGATAAGGAACCAGAGGTAATTTGAGGCAGGAGAAGCTGCCCGGAAGAGGTGGCTGGTGGCTTTTGGCCCAGGGCGCTTTCTCTGTGGGGAGGCAGTCATCGCCAGTGCTGCGACCTGAAGGCTCTTTGGACCCGCTCCAGTCCTTCCTCAGCCCTGGCTCAGACCTGGCCCCAGCAGCTCGGGGGTTCTGGGGAGGGCGTCCTGACCTCCCTGCTTGCCTCCGCAATCGTGATTGCTCCCTGGGTCGGCAGCGTGAGGATGCCGACCATGACTGCAGAGCACTTCGGCCGGGCACAGCCGGTTCTCCCCTCCCCTGCCCAGGAGGGAGTGATGATGATCTGCTTGTGGTCCCTCGTGTGGAGAGAGCGCGGGCCTTGGAGTCCAGAAGGGGAGGTCACTGCCTGTGTGACCCTGGGGGAGTCATTTCACCATTGCTCAGCCTCACAGGGTGGGTGTAAAGGAGATAACCTCTGCACCGGGCTTCGAGAGCCTTCAGGTGCCAAGTCAGTGATAGCTATTAGTATTACTGTTGTTATTGTGCAAAAATGAAACATTAGAAGAGACCAGGGATTGAGACCTAAAGTGACTGGGTCACTTTGACCTTTCTTGATTCCAGGCCTGGACACAGACCTGGGTCTGTCCCTCCCTGGTAGCCAGGGCTCGGGAGGAAGTGAAGGGAGTCCTTGGCCCTGAGAGAGGAGCCTTGAATTGCCCCCGTGGAGCAATTCCCTCGCTTCTCTGGGCCTCAGTTTCCTTCTCTGTGAAATGAGGCCAATACTCCTGGCATCCTTATACCAGGCTCTTGCTAATAATCCCAGTGCCAACAAACCCGAACCCCCCCAGATGTTTGACCTCCTGCTCTTTCCCTTGTGGTTGGGGGCGTGCCCAGGGACACCAGACTGCCTTGCCCAGCCCGCCAAACCGGATCTCTCCGTGGGATCTGGCTCCGGTCCCTGGGCTGCTTAGACCGCTTCTCCTGTTTTCCTGAAGCCAGGTCTGGGCTCCTTCAGGGGTGTCTGCGTCCGTCCCCCCACAGCTCAGACGGTCAGGCCCCTGTGAGTCAGATGGGGGGAAGCTGGGTCTGTCTTACAGTCTCTCTACTCTTCCCTTCCCCCCATATCTTTTGCTTGTTTGAACAAGGAGAGTCCAAGCTCTCTGACGCCCTGTGATTTCAGGTAGTTAATAAGAAGCCACAGGGACGAGTAAAGTTTAGTGGGTCCTGGATATAAAGGACCCTGGCCACCCTCGGGAGAGCCACTGGTTGTTTGGAGAGCTAAGACAACAGCTCTGTGTTCATTGTAGGTCCCACGAGGGGCTTCCAGGATGTCTCAGCTGGTAGAGTGCGTCCCCAACTTCTCTGAGGGCAACAACCAAGAGGTAGGGGACTGAGGTTTCTTATAGCCCTCAGGAGGGCCCTGCGGAGGAGCGAGGTGGCCCAGTGAAAGTGGAACAGTCGTTTCCCCAGGTCTTCTGGCTGGCCATGCGGGTCACTGGACTCCAGCGAATGCCCTTCCTTGATCTGCTGGGAGTTCACTGATTGATGGGGGTGTGGGGGTGGGATCACTGTGGACAGATTGGAGGAAGGACTCGCACTCAGCCCCCTGGGACGTGAGCAAACCTCTACCATCTGTCATGTATCTCTGTCTCTTTCTTTCTTTCTTTCTTTCTTTCTTTCTTTCTTTCTTTCTTTCT